CAGGTCGGCGAACCCTCCTATGGTAAATATCAGTTGTAGTTGTAGATGGCGTGATGTAGAATTTGCACCTGTAAGTCCTCCCTTCCATATTGACCACAAATATCCTTCCCATCTCTCTCTCTCTCTCTCTGACCACAACTACTTGGTGCACAACCTCAAAAACTCTGTTATTCTACCTGAAATTCATTGAAGTTTCAAGCTGAAAATGTGGAATCCGCCGCTCCCCAAAAATCGCATTGTCTGAGGTGTTGGAATGGCCGGTGTTGACTTCCTGGCTGCTGTAGCTTCATTCCCCAACCCGGATGATAAAATTCGGAGCACCAGCTTTGAGGTTCAAGGAGGTGGTAACACTAGCAATGCTTTGATAAAACCCGGATGATAAAATTCGTCTTGGTCTTAATCCAAGGATCATATCTAAGGTTGCTGATGACTCGCATGGCGAAAGAATACTTGATGAGCTTGAAAGGGATGGTGTTGATACATCTTTTATGGTGGTGTCCAAAGGAGGAAACTCACCATTCACATATGTCATTGTTGACAACCAAAAAAAAAAAAAACTCGCACGTGCATTTTCACTCCAGGATATCCACCCATGATATCTGAGGGTCTACATACACAAATCAAAATTGTCTTCAGCTCTTGGAGTAAATATTGTCTACTTAGATGGAAGGCTGCATGAGACTGCTTTGATTGTAGTGCAAGAGGCAAAGAGTAGGGGCATACCTATTATAGTTGATGCAGAAAGGTTAAGGGAGGGGTTGGGTGATATTCCTGACTTTGCTAGTTATGTTGTATGCTCGACAAAATTTCCACAGGCATGGACTAACGCCCTTTCTATTCCAACTGCACTTGTTTCCATTATCTTGAGATTGATGTCAAATGTAAAATTCGTGATTGTTAGTTGGGTGAAGATGGTTTCTTAATGTTAGAAAGGACTGAAGCGGATAACCTCAATTTGAAGAAATGGATGTAGCAGTGACCAATGGATGGAGAAATACAAGGATTAGAACATAAAAAGACAGAAAAACCCTTCTAATTCACGGTCAACAAACGGCGTCATTGACGGATGATCAAAACTGTCCAACGATCAATAACAGTGGCTACTAAGTGGCAATTTTTATTATGGAGGATGAAAAGTGTCAATGCCCCAATAAGTCTAGGACAAAAAATGGCATTAACTCTTGTATTCCGTGAGTCACAATAATAATATAACAATAATTAAATATTGTTCAATTCTATATTCTTCTAAGATTTCTATTACCATCATTAATTATTCCCAAATTTACCATAATTAAATAATTTGACCAATTATAAAGAAAGATTATTAAATAATGCACGGGACAATTGTTTAATTAAAAATTTTAAAAATTCATTAATAAAACATAAGGTTCTCATAGTTTTTTCTTAGAAACTCTTTAATAAAGTATTTTTTTTAGAAATTGGTTGGCCAAATAGCCTATGGCAATTTGCGGTGGATAGATCTCGAAAAAATACGCGATTTCAAAAAAAACATTTGTCCAAAACGAACAATGGAGTCAAAAGTTATGCCGTGACGAACTTTTGACACTTTACAACTTAAAAAAAAATAAAAAATTAAAGGCCGGTTTAGCCGGCGAGGCGGCCGCTGAGGAGGCCGATTCTGGCCTTCCTCGCCGCGGCCAGCGACACGATTTTTGCAACACTGATATATAAAATAGATATAGATTAGAATAGGAATAGTATTACACAATTTTATAATATTACAATAAAATTTTAACCAAGAATTATTGTAGAAATCAATATATTTTATTAGGAAGAGAGATTTTTTAGGAATTGGGCGGGAAGTTAAAATTTCAAGATTTTGTTTTTATATATAGTATAGATTGTAGTACACTATTTTATAATATTATAATAGAATTTTAACGCAGAATTATTGTACGAATGGGAAAGTAGAAATCAATATATTTTATTAGGAAGAGAGATTTTTTAGGAATTGGGCGAAAAGTTAAAATTTCAGGATTTTGTTTTGTTAGCAGTAATAATATTTTATGTCTATGTTATGCTTTAATATTATTGGCTGTATTTTAGTTAATAGTCCTAGCCTGAATAGTAGGAGACTATTGTGTTATTTCTCCTATAGGACTCTAGCGTTATTGTTTTCTGTAATCTGATTTTGATATTATTGATTTTGAATTTGAAGTTACATCATCTCATCTGGTATCAGTTGCGATAGGACTGCGATTCTCTTTCCTAATCGTTTCCGCTCACTCTCTCTCTCGAGATGGCTTCGAATTCTTCCGATCAAACAATCATCCCCGCCGCACCCATTGTGCCGGCGACGACAAATCAACTCTCATCCGCGCATCATTTTGTTTCAATGAAACTAACATCGCGCAATTATCTTTTTTGGAGAACTCAGCTTCTCCCTTTTCTCCGTGGCCAAGGGCTACTGGGCTACATTGACGGTCTCCCGTGTCCTCCGGCGACTATCTCCGTCACCTCGACCTCCGGTGGTGCCGTGGCAACGACGACAACCACCACAACTCCGAACCCCGCATATGCTGCCTGGGTCCAGCAGGACCAATCAATTTTATCTCTGTTGATTTCCTCATTCTCAGACGAAGTCATGCATCATGCTCTCGGCCGGAACACCGCCAAAGAAGTCTGGGAATCTGTCACATCCGCGTTGGCGTCAACCACCCGAGCCCGCTGTCTGAGCCTTCTCGGACAGTTTCAAACTTTGCGCCAGGGAGGAAGCACACCGGCGGAGTACCTTGGGAAAGCTCAGACCATCGTCGAGGCTCTCGCTTACGGTCTCCGGCAGCCCCATCTCCCTGTCGCAGCTCGCCGATCATCTACAAGTGCAGGAGTTCATACATTCCGACGACTTTGCAGGTGAGTCCGACGCAGGAGGCAATCCATCGGCTTTTTTTGCGGGACGTGGCAGAAGCAGCGGCGATCGTGGATCGGGTAGCCGCAATGGCTCTGGCGGTCGTGGCCGTCATGGTCGTGGCAGGGGCAACAACAACGGCCGAGGGCGCGACGGCACACCTCGTTGCCAAATCTGCAGATCACATGGCCATACGGCCGTGTATTGTTATAAAAGATACACGGAACATCCGCAACCGAGTGCAGGAACGGCGAATGTGGCAGTAGCTGGTGAACCTCAGGTGGCCGATGCCTGGTTCCCGGACACGGGTGCGTCGTCGCATGCCACTCCGGATGAACAGATGCTGAACAGTTCCGAGGCGTATCATGGCGGGGACGTACTCAAAGTGGGCAACGGCGCAGGTTTGGTTGTTTCCCGTGTGGGTCATGCAGTAATCCCATCCCGGTCTAAAAATCTACAAATATCAAATATTTTACATGTCCCGAATTTGACTTTACCTTTGCTTTCTGTTTATCGTTTTGCTAATGAAAACGATGTGTTTTTCGAATTTCATAAAGATTTGTTTCTTGTGAAGGATTCGAACACCAAAACAATTCTGCTTAAAGGGTCAACCTCGGGCGGACTATACAAGCTACTGGTTCCCCGGTCTCATTTTGCGTTTCTCTCCGCCCGGGCGTCGTCACAGGTGTGGCATCAACGATTGGGTCACCCCCATAAAGAAGTCCTCCAGCGTGTCTTAAAAAGCTGCTCGGTTTTGCCAAATAAAACAAGTTCGTCAAAAATGTGCACCGCTTGCCAACTCGGAAAATCAGCACGTTTTCCACTAGATAGAGTTTCAAATACTAGCCAAAATATTCTAGATTTATTGTACACGGACATCTGGGGTCCGTCTTCTGTTATTAGTAATTCGGGTTTTCGTTACTTTGTTCTTTTTGTAGACGATTACTCGCGGTTTTGCTGGTTTTATCCGCTAAGATTAAAATCAGACATATATAAAACTTTCAATTTGTTTCGGGCAATGGTAGAATGGCGGTTTTCCCGTTCTATCAAAGCCATTCAGTCTGATTTGGGCGGCGAATATCGCCGATTACATACAGTTTTCGAGACTCTTGGCATAACTCATAGGCAATCTTGCGCCTATACACACGAACAAAATGGTTGTGTTGAGCGCCGGAACCGACACATTGTCGAAATCGGCTTAGCCTTGTTAGCTGAAAGCTCAACTCCGCTTCAATATTGGGATTATGCGTTTGAAACAGCAGCCCATTTAATCAACTACTTGCCATCTTCAGCCATACAGTTTCAAACACCTTATTCCCGTCTATACAACACTCAACCAACATATAACTTCTTCCGTGTCTTCGGTTGCCGCTGTTATCCCTATTTGCGGCCCTACAATCGCCACAAAATGGAATATCGGTCGGCACCGTGCGTCTTCTTATGTTACCCAGTTTCTTATAGGGGATACCGCTGCTTAGACTTAACCACGGGAAAGATCTTCATCTGCCGTCATGTCCGGTTTGATGAGTCCACTTTCCCCTTTTCTATGCAGACTTCTGTACAGGTTGCTGATGAGCAACCTCTCAATACACCTTGGGGTTCAAGCCCTATTGTTGTTAATACTCCAGTTCCACCACCGCCAATGGAGTTACCCATGGCACAGGAACCACCTCAATTGGCTATAGAAGCTGCCCTCGCTCCAACTCGGAGGCAACGGAAGGCCGCTACTAAGTCGTCCCAAAGCGAGGGGCATGTCATGCGCACTCGGCGTAAGACTCGTGGAACAGATGAGCCATTTCAAGCACTCACTGTCACCATAGACCCCACGTGTTACTCTCAAGCAGTGGGACATCCGTAGTGGCGGGATGCCATGGACCAGGAGTTCAATGCACTGCTGCACAACACCTGGAATCTAGTCCCGGCAACGCCTCACATGAATGTCATTGGCTGCAAGTGGGTTTTCCGCACCAAGCGTAAAGCTGATGGCCCAATAGAGCGGCACAAAGCTCGCCTGGTTGCCAAAGGGTTCAACCAAGTAGCTGGTGAAGATTTCTTTGACACGTTCAGTCCGGTTGTTAAACCAACCACTGTTCGCATATTATTTTCCCTTGTAGTGTCTCACAAATAGACCATGCGGCAGCTGGATGTCCATAATGCCTTTCTAAATGGGCATCTGTCCGATACGGTTTTCATGAAGCAACCACCGGGCTACGAAGATCCTGCTCATCCGGATCACGTATGCCACTTGCAACGTTCTCTTTATGGCTTGAAACAGGCACCTCAGGCCTGGTTCAAGCGCCTACATGAGTTTCTAATAACAACAGGGTTCCTCGCCTCCAAAACTGATGTGTCGTTATTTCACTACACCGACGGTGATTCCAGGGTTTTCTTACTCGTCTATGTAGACGATATTATTATGTTCGGCAACGACTCAGCTTTAATTGATTCCCTATTACAGCGGCTCTCGTCTACTTTCAAGATCCGGGACTTGGGCAAGCCCACCTTCTTCCTAGGCATTGAGACTTTGTCTGAGGGTGGTAGCTTCCTTCTATCTCAACGGCGGTATATGGCTGATGTTCTCTCTCGTGCAGGTATGACCGACTGTAAGCCCTTGGCTACCCCAGCTGCGGTCACTCAACCGGCTACACCGACTCTTGATCTGTTTGACAATCCGACTCAATACCGTCGGATCGTCGGGGCTCTACAGTACTTGACCATTACTCGGCCAGATCTCTCGTTTTCAGTTAACAGGCTTTGTCAATTCATGCACTCTCCCACACAGGATCATTGGGGTCTCCTCAAACGTGTCCTCCGTTATGTAAAAGGCACCCTTGACTACGGTCTTCGCCTATCTCCGTCATCATCCTCCGCTATACATGCTTTTTCAGACTCGGACTGGGCCGGTTGTACTATAGACCGAAAATCTACCAGTGGTTATGCGGTCTTCCTTGGTTCCAACCTCATCTCCTGGCTATCTCGGAAGCAGCGCACGGTTGCACGCTCCTCGTCAGAGGCCGAATACAAAGGGCTTGCTGACGTTGCTGCTGAAGTTACCTGGGTTGTGTCCTTACTCTGGGAACTGGGTCTACATACTGGCCAGCCTGCTACATTATGGTGCGATAATCTAGGAGCAACTTACTTAGCTGCTAATCCCGTGTTTCACGCCACAACGAAGCACGTAGAGATCGACTTTCACTTTGTACGTGATAAAGTTTCTTCGGGGAAATTCGTCGTCAACTTTGTTTCCACCAAGGACCAGCTTGCTGACATCTTCACCAAACCTCTTCCAGCTCCTCGCTTTCATACTCTGAGGGACAAGCTCAATGTGGACAACATTCACCCTTGTGCTTGAGGGGGTGTGTTAGCAGTAATAATATTTTATGTCTATATTATGCTTTAATATTATTGGCTGTATTTTAGTCAATAGTCCTAGCCTGAATAGTAGGAGACTATTGAGTTATTTCTCCTATAGGACTCTAGCGTTATTGTTTTCTGTAATTTGATTTTGATATTATTGATTTTGAATTTGAAGTTACATCATCTCATCTGTTTTTATATATAGTATAGATAGATTGTATTACACTATTTTATAATATTAGAATAGAATTTTAACGCAGAATTATTGTACGAATGGGAAAGTAGAAATCAATATATATTATAGGAAGAGAGATTTTTTAGGAATTGGGCGGGAAGTTAAAATTTCAGGATTTTGTTTTTATATATAGTATAGTATAGATAGATAGATTAGTGAAAACTATTAGGACTAGTATTAGGATTCTTGTATTTGAGTCATAGTATGACTCCCTATATTCTAGTCTCCTTATGATTCTTCTGGTATATATTCCTCTATTTGTACCATTGTAATCAAGTTCATTCAATACTGTACAGTTTTATACCGTTCTCATTTGGTATCAGTCAGCTAGGGTTTAGGATAATTATTATTGTCCAATTAATCCAGCCGCTCCAAAACCTTTTCTTGAGGATTACTTGATTTCATTCCTTAATTAGCATGCATTATTCATCCATTCCTTACCCCACGTACGCCAAAATCTTGTGTCTTGTGATTCAGAATATGCTGCCCATGTGAAAAATTGATCACTGCCTTTGCTAATTGTGAGTACAACTGGCTACATTGATGAAGACATATTACCACTAACAAGTTCAAAATCTGCAGCGGCGATGAATCTTTCGTAATCAAAGAATAAGCCTTAAACAACACCGGACGCTGAAATCATGGAACAAGGCGGTAGCAGCCGTAATCGAGGTCAGCAGCGTGGCGAACGTGGCTTTGTTGATCAGTGTCAAATTTGTAAAGGTTTTGTTCACACGGGAGTCAATTGTTGTTGGAGCTATGATGATTCGTGTCAAATTTGTAAACGTTTTGGTCACACAGGAGCCAATCGCGTTTGGCGCATGATCCGTGTCAAATTTGTAAAGGTTTTGGTCATACGGGAGCTAATTGTTTTTGGCGCTATAATGATCCGTGTCAAATTTGTAAAAATTTTCGGTCACACGGAGCCAATTGTTTTCGGCATTATTCAGGGGCTCCGGGTTCTCAGGCTAATTTAGTGTTTCAGGATGCAACACAAAACTCACGCACCTTAAGCACAAACCTCACATACCTTAAACACAAAACTCGCACAAAACTCACGCACCTTAAGCACAAAACACATGCACCTTAAGTTACAACAACTACTCACATTAAACACAAAACTAACGCACCTTAAGCACAAGACTTACGAACCTTAAGTACAAAACTCACGCACCATAAGCACAAAACTCATGCACCTTATGTTTCAACAACTACTCACATTAAGTATACACCCACCCACCTTAAGCACAAAACTCACGCACCTTAAACACAAGCCTCATGCACCTTAAGTACAAAACTCACGCACATTAATCACCGCACAACCGCACGGGAACTTAATTATATATATATATATATATATATATATATATATATATATATATATATATATATATATATATATATATAATTTATTTATATTTATTTATTCATTAATAATAATATTATAATCATTATTATTTTTATTATATATTTTGTATATGGGTATTTATGTCTTTTAAAAAACATATTACATTTCTTTTCCTTTAACCAACGAAACACTGGAATACAATTTTAAAAGTATGTTCTTTCAGTGAAACATACAATAGAATACAAATTCCTGTTCCATTTCTTACATGCTATTTCATTCCATATGTAATAACTTATAACATTCCAATTCTCTTAAAATTCATTCCGTTAAGTAAATCGGCAAGAGTTTTGTTTTTAATGCGTAATTTTTTTTTCTTACATATCTTATCTTATTTGATATGAAATATATGTATCATTCGTTTTCTGGCAACAAAATAATTCCGTTTCATTTATTATGGTATTGATGTTAAAATATACGGAGTAGTTATAATATAAAATTATATTATGAAAACCTAATTGTAGAATTTTATTTTACTATTATTATTTTATCCAAACTAATAATATATTCTGCTTAATGGTTAAGTTTTATCTTTTGAAACACAATACCTACTAAGTTCAATCCATTTTAAAAAATTTATGCTAGATGATAATGTTTTTATCATAAAAATTAAAATATCCTCTTCTAATATTTATAGGATTTATGTGTTTATTTATTTATTTTGATCATTTAATTTTACTATATTTTTGTTGTTTATTGGGTATTATTCAATCACACATGGTGCATATTTACAATTAGTACTTGAAGAAATACTTATATAATTTGTTGAAGAAATAATTATATAATTAATTAGTTCTAAAAATATAAGTAAAGTAAAAAATAAATAGCAAATTATTTTGAGTTACAAGAATTTATCCCACAATTAATGTTGATATTAAGTAAAATTAAAAAAAAAAACAGTAAAATGATATTAATATAAACGTACCTGTTGATATAATAATTAATACGTAATAACATATATAGTAATTAATTTAATTAGTATAATAAGATTACCAATATCAAATTATTTGGTTAGAAATTTCAATTTGTGGTAAGTGCTAGGTATTGTACGTTCTACACAATGTTTTGTAATATAGGATTATATGGTAAGTAGAGATAATCCTTTTACTATATAAACGTCACTATCAAAGTCCAATTTTTTCAACAGAATCAAAGTAAAAACTAAAAATTAGTCATGACTTTTTCACACCACATTGTTCTTGTTGTGTTCTTCACTCTCTTTAACTTTTGTTTATGCAGAAATTCGTTTAATAATATAACTTTAGCTGGATTCGCACCTGCAACTGCAACATGGTACGGTCCACCCAATGGACATGGAACTGGTATATATAAATATATTTTATTTATTACGAGTATATTATATGTATTAGATTATTATATTGCTCCGATATCATTGTGTGAAGCACAATATATTACTTTTAATATTTTAATTACATTAATTTGTAGATACTGGAGCTTGTGGATTTGGAAATGTAGGCAATCCTCCATACAACTCCTTAATAGCAGCAGGAAATCAAACTTTATACCAACATGGCAAAGGTTGTGGACAATGTTACGAGGTATATAAACTAGATGATATGTTTTACCCATGCTAATATAATAAAAAAAATTTATTTTATTATGCATTTTTGTAATACATTTAATAAGATAAGAAATGATGAGATTCGAATTCAAATGTACTATATCATACAAAGTGTAATTCGTTACTAAGTTACACATTAATCTGCATTATCTTGTTTTGTTTATGTGTATTTTAATTTGTTTAATAATTCTCAAGGGAACCAATTGTACATTTCAGGTAAAATGCAACTCAAATCCCCAGTGTTCAGGAAATCCAATAAAAATTTATATTACAGATGAATGTCCCGGTGATTGCAACAAGGTGCCGATTTGGTTCGACTTGGGTGGAATTGCTTTTGGTGCGCTGGCAAAGCCGGGCCAAGCTGATGCATTGCGTAATGCGGGAAAGATTCAAATTTCATACCAAAAGTAATTTTAATTTTATAACTAACGCTACCTTTGGTGGATTAACGTACATTGATTAATTAGTTTCTAATTTGGTACAATTTGATTTTACAGGGTAGGATGTTAGGATGAAGATCAGTGTTTAAAGATGATTCAAATTCAACTCTTTAAGTGACAACAATTTATGTTGAATTAAAAAATAAGTAGTAAATTTATGGCACAAATTTTAAATTTTAATTTTATTATAATAATACAATGCTACGAATTTTGGAACTTGTTGATTTGAAATTTTTATGAGAGTATTTAGATATAATCTCTATTTTCTTCCATTAGAAAAAATAAAATTATAAAATAAAATCGTAAGGAATATATGAATATGATTAACTAGTATATTATACATAATATAATATGGAAAATGTCCAAATAACACTCACAAATAGTTTAATTGAGTTTGATTTAAAAAAAAAAAAATCTAAATTTATACATACCTCTTCAACTGGTATAAAAATGTGATTGAATCATAATCTACTTTGTTAAGATGATACACTTGATTTGTTGACTGAATTTGCATACGCACTTTTATTCAAATGTTGCAACTTGGCTTAAAGTTAAAATTAATTGAAAAAAAATATTTATGAACTTTTTTTTTCTAGATATTAAATATAATCAAATAAAAGTATAAAAAAAATTGAACACTTCCGAAATATAACAATTAATTTCTCTATGTGAGAGTAAATCCATTCATAAATGTTTGACAACAGCCATGGCAATCCTCAAACCCATTCATATAATTGTTTCATTTTATTGTTTAATTAACATTGGAGCTCAAATTTAATTAATTGTTTATTTGTACTCAAAAAAAAAAAAATTGATAATCGTTTAATTTATACTCAATCAAATTTAATCAACATAAATATTTAATAGCAGTTTGTTAAAAAAAAAAAAAAACTAGAAAACAGAATTACTGCAAATTCAATAAGAAAATTACAACAAATTCCCAATAAAAAAAAATAAATCAACATGTAGAAAGAAAATAACTACAAATCTCCATTTTAAAATGGAATATAGATAATAACTACAAATCTCCATTTTAAAATGGAATATAGATTTAATTGCACCTCTCAATTTCATTCAAATTGTATAAATTAAAAGATAATATAATATTTTTTACAAAAAAAATAATATAATATTTAAAATATTGTAATATCACCATCTAATAATGATTATTTTCTATAAACATATTAAATTAATATTATCTTGAAAAATATTCTTATTAATCACAGAAATATTAATTTAAAATTAAGATATTAAACAAATAAGTATTCTTCCCGAAAAAGGTTGAGTCCCCAACGGCCCAACCCCAAAGGCCCCCCACACTCCGACCCGGCAA